TTAGTGTAAAAACACCGGAATTAGGAACTTTCCTCTTCTGCGCCCTTAGCTATAGGGGTTGTTTCTCAACATTGTGCTACAATAGAATTTTTGGTCTCTAATTAGGCAATCCAACAACCTGTCAAAAAAAGCGCCTGGTTGGAAAACAATACAAAAAACGTAATATTGACATTACAGACTTTTTAAAATCTTGAAACTGTCACATTTCTGTACTTTGACAATTTATCGGGACTGCAATGTATATGCCTGCTTAGGCAGGCATATCCGTTTCCGTCCCGATTTCCCTGCTTGTATTTTTGTCAAACTTGATGACATTGACAAAAAGAAAGTGAAAGCTGATTTTTTTCTAAGGCTAATTCACACTATTATTTCGTACTATAAAAGCTTTGGCCTCAGAAATTGAGGGTTGAAAATAAAATAGTATACAAACCTCGACGGAAAACTTCATTGCTGTCTCGAGGTTTAGTTTATATATAACCTCTTGACCAGCAATGAAGCATTTTCTGTCTCGGATTGTAATATACTATTTCAAATGTCCAAAGAAAAATGATAAAATTCTACCTGAATATGACAGATTTAATGACGGATTAATGATTAGTGATTCAATGCAAACCCTCCTTTGTTTGCCAACCAGAGGCCATGAAAAGTCACGTGGTTCGAATTGTCTAATTATTATAGATAATCGGATTCTCTACTACTTTTTCCCATGCTAACAAATTCAATAAGAAATTATGTTAAATTACTTAACTGGCTGCTTTTTCGTTATAAAATCGCCATCCTCAAATCAACATAGTTGTTGTTCGGTAATAGTGCCCGACTAGGGCTTAAAGTAATGTTTTTGCATGAAGTGGGCTGAAAAAAGTGTGGGAAAAAGTTGTGGAGAATCCGATTATCTACAATTAGATTAGACAGAAAATTTGATTGTAGCACAATGTTGAGAAACAACCACTATAGCTAAGGGGCAAGGGCTCAGAAGAAGAAAGTTTCTGATTCTGGTGTTTTTACACTCAGGAAACCGCCCTTGAACAATCCTGAAAAAATCAACTTGCCCATAATTTTTTTTTAAATGACAATTATCTTGGACTAGTATTATCCGTTCACAATCCAATATCCACAGGTACAGGTAAAACTTATCACCTTCCAATGATGCTGTTTGATAGGGAAAGGTGATAAATTTACCTGCACTTGTGGACATCGGATTGTGAACAGGATATATATTGTTTATTATTGGAAAAGCCATTCATGTTATGTTTTGACATTAGTTTTGTTTGTAGCACTTTCAAAAATAACTGCCCGATGAAACTAAAATTCACACTTTCATGTGATGGCCAAGCACTCATTTTAAGTGAGGTAAGAAGTGAACACAATTATACAATCATGGAAGACGCTTTCAATTTGATACCAAAGCAGAGACTTCTAAGCAATGAGGAAAAAGACGAAGTGATTAAATTAAAAAACCTTAAGTGTAATAAAATACTCCTACAATCATACATATAAGAAAAAACGGGCAAGAAGATTCAGTTACGTGACATAACTAATATTAAGGACAGCAGTAGTGAAAATGATTTGGAAGAAGTTGTGAAGCTATTTGAAGAAGATCCAGAAGCAGTTGTTCAGTTACTTATAGATGAAAATAAAATTTTGCAAGGAATCTTTTTCCAAGATAAGCATATGAAAGAAAGTTTTGCCAACTATCCTTCTTTAGTTTTAATGGATGCAACTTATAAAATGAACAATCTGAGAATGCCTTTATATATATTGATGTCCGACATTTACTGCACATGTTTTAAAAATACATCGTTATTCATAATTATTTTTGTCGGACATACATGTGTCAACTTCCTCAGGGACGTCACAGCGACATGTTGGGGGCGTCGGACCCCCCCAAAGCCACGTGATTTTTGTCCGACCTATGTGATATCAATAATGTAACATAGAAAACAGTCGATTGGCATCAAAACCACACGTACATGTATCAACTTCCTCAGGGACGCCACAGCGACATGTTGATGGCGTCAGACCTTCCCCAAAGCCACATGGTTTTTGTCCGACAAATGTGATATCGTTAATGTAATGTAAAAAGCAGTCGATTGGCATTGAAATTACACGTACATGTATCAACTTCCTTAGGGACGTCAGAACGACAACTTCACGAAGAGCTAGCGCGGCAATGTCCCATCGCCCAGGGTGGAGATATGAAAAATATTGTCCGACTTGGTGTTATGAAGCCGCTCAGGAAGTTTGGCGTGTACATGAGTTACAAAATTTTAGGGTCGATGTACTGGGGACTACAAGGTTTAGGTAGTATGACAACCAATATGACAACGAAGGACATAAAAATGCCACTCAAAATTAAAAGAAGGGGAAGACCGAAAGGTATCAATCTTACTGCTATTGGGCTATCTAAGAGAAGGAAGTACCTCCCATTTTTTCGGCAAATTCCAAAAGAGAAAATTTTACATGCAATTTTCCCAGACAAAAAATTAATAAGAGATGTATTAGAAAATGATAAAATAGTTGAAGCATCAGAAATTCCTTCACCTTCAAGAATCAATTGTTTTGTTTTTGAGAAAGAAGTAGATTTGAGTATAGTTGAGAAATTCTTCACACCAGAAGCCTTTGATGCATTGAAAAAAACTGTGAAAACCAGAGAAAAAAATAAAAAATGGTTTTGCAAAGTATGTGAGCAGGTTGTAAATACCAATTCCGTGCGATGCGACTCCTGCCTTCATTGGTTTCATCTTCAATGCACTTCATTGATAAAACTCCCAAAAACAATCAGTGTGTGGTTCTGTTTATCATGTAAGATGATTTAAATAGGTACTAATGATGATTTATCTTGTATTTTGCAAAAATGCTTTTTTTAAGTTTCTTTTATCAAGTGGTTTTTTTTTTGAGTTTATAATAGTTTCTATGTTTTGTTTTAAACAGAATTGTTTTTAGTTTATCTTTTATACAGGGTGTCCAAAATAGCATGGGCCACCATTGGTAGGTACTTGGGTAAGTATATCGGAAAAAGTAAGAGATACAAAGGCAGTTAAATTAGAAATAAGTTGCTATTTTCGAAGGTTATTGAAAATATATTTCCGTTGTTGCCAAATATCTATTAGTTTCCAAGATACAGGGTGATTTGTGGAAAAAAATATTTCCACAAATCACCCTGTATCTTGGAAACTAATACAAATTTGGCAACAACGAAAATATATTTTTAATAACCTTCGAAAATGGCAACTTTTTTCTAATTTAACCGCCCTTGTATCTCTTAGCGTTTCCGATATACAAATGGTGGCCCTTGGTAACAAGTCTTAAAAAAAAAAACAATCAAAGATTGCTATGGTTTTTGGAATGTATGTCTTTAGCTACAGTGTTTTCTTTAATTTTGTCATTGAACACTTATGTCAAAATGTCATGTCAACAATCCTGACCAATAAAAAAACAATAAAAGACCGAGTAAAAGACATACATTTAAAAAACCATAGCAATCTTTGATTGTTTTTTTTTAATACCCGATAATTCAGACACCCCATATTTCTTTTAAGAATTTGTAAGTTTTTTTTTCTAAAAAAAAATAAAAAATTAAGTAATCTCTTATTTTTAGTAATTTATGTGTAATAGATTGTTTAAGTTTTGTTTTTGTGTCCAAAGCAATGGTTTCTTGTTTTCCATTATGCAATAAATTTGTTTTAACTAGGTACTTACATGTTTTTTAATATATAATGAATTTTAAATTTTATCCACTTCTAAGATAAAAGTGGCACTTTTTATCCCTGTTTTCATGGACTAAATGATACTTTTAATTCCTAGAGAATAGAAATTGCTTTTAATCCCTATGGATTAAAAGTTTTTTTTAATCCCTAGGGACTAAAAAAATATTTTGAAACCCTAGTAGAGGTGGGTTGCGATTTCACGAACTGTGACTTTGTCACTGCTACTCGTCTGTCACAGTCACGGCCTGCTCCAGTCCCAGTCAAGTAGCAGTGACATTTTGTCACTGCCTGCTTCAAGATCCGACCGATGCAGCGCGGACAAAACTCGAGCTAAGTGATGCGAACGAAATAATATAATATTATAAATCGCATCGCAGTCACGCCAAATAGAAACTGCTACTGCAGAGGACAGGCCAGAAACTGGAACAACTTTCTCGGCCGTGACTGATGACTGTGATTATGCCATGTTGCGACGTAGCATTACCATAATATTAGCAGTACGGCCGTCAACCAAGGTAAAACTGCTCCAAAAAATCACTGCTATTTGTCACAGTGACACGACTGGAGCAGTCACGTCTTGTCACAGTTCCATTAAAATCGCAGATTGGCCCACCTCTAAACCCTAGGGATTGAAAGTTTTTTCAATCCCTAGCAGCTAAAAGTGTTAGCTATCCATTATTACAGTACCTTGATTTATCAACATTTCACAGGAGTGGTGTCTTTTATCCCTCGATGACAAACTTTTCACCTTGGGATAAAAAGTGCCACTTTCTGGTGTATATGTATATGTATAGTATACTATACTATTTTCTACTATTAATAATAGAAATAGACTTCATTGGCCGATTATTGTCATGAGAACAACCTCTTCTATACCTCCAGTCAATAAAAATGTATTATGTATCTAGATCAATAATGATAGAATCTCAGATATACTCAGAACTACCGTGCCAACTACTTTTTTCAAAAAATATAAAAATGTTCGGAATAATATGAGTAAATGCTATTAGTCCGAAAATAATAAGTGAACATTTTGCGGAACAATAACAAAATAGACTAGTAATCCGATAATCAGAATAGTAACAAAATCACTATTATTCCGATTATCGGACGAGCATCCAGTCCCTTTTCGAAAATAGTGTTGACTGGGAATTACCGTCAATCTTATCTAAAAACTCATAATCTGGAGCTCAAATAATCCATTACATTAACAAATGACTTTTGATAGTTTCATCGGGGTAAACCACTTACTATTAACAACTTATATTTAATTATTAATGTTTAACATATTACCAGCTCTTGTTTGTTTGCTTGGCAGCAAAGTAGCCAATCTTTTGGGGTCCTTCCAAAGTACTTCAATGTCTCTATCACCTGGATAGTTTTCCTGATAGAATTCCGAGCCCGCCTCTTCCCAGCCCTGCGAACGGGTGGCCTTTTTCTTTTTCTCTCCCCCAGACATTGTGCTCAACTAACAAAGACTCACTACTAAATAATAATTAATTAATCAGCTATAACAAATCCGTGATAAGATAAAAAGGATGACACATACCTGGGATATGTTTACATTTTTGTTTTTGGCTTGGCTGATAAAAATCAATGGATTAGGTATTTAATGTTACCGTTATTAATTAGCCAAATTGGTTCATTTTAATTTGAAATGTAGGAGCAAAGGCCCCTCCTCACTACAACAACAACAAATAAAACCATCAATAAAATGTCAAATATGACAACACAAGCGTGTCAAATTTTGAAAATGTCAAAATTCTTGTTGTTCATGTACCGTTTCCAGCATTGGTTAATAGAATCTGGAATCTTACTCCGTTTTGTAGTTTAAAAACGCACTTTCCTTTGGTCCCATTTCCATTTATATGCAACACATTCTTTGTACCCAAAGTCATGGGCCGTACCGGGTTGTACTAAATACGACAAATAGGAGTTCAGTGCCGCTTTCGGGTGGTACCCTTTGAGCGCTCCCGAGTTATTCCGAAGTACTCCAGCTTCAGTTTGACCCGTTCGGGTGAACAGAGTTTGGCGTTCTCGAGCTGCTCTCATTTCCTCGCCTCTTACCCCTGAAGCATCTACCATTTAAATGATTGCGTCACGCTCCGGGCAAAACGATTTCAAGTGTTCGGGTGCAAAACGCATGGAGTATATCCAGGTGTGAAGTGTTCTAGGAGCTTCGCACTCTGCACCCAAAAGCGGCTCAGGAGTTGAACAAACGGTGGTTGAAAGTTGAACTCTACTTAACTGGTACTTCTACTTCTTGATTCAAAAAAAGGCGAATTCTGGTGAAGCAAGTTACGGTTCCATTTAAATAAAATTGTGGAATGGTATTCTTGATTCTTGTAGAAGAATCAGGAAGTTTTGAACTCAAGATTCAGAATTTTGAGTCTTTTCAGAAAAGATTCAGGGAACTTGCAATGCAAAAATCATTGTTGGGAATTTGGATGTAAATTTATCCTGCAATGAATTCTCGAAGTATGATCAATCTCGAACCCTACTCTATTCGGGTCAGTTAAGTTAGCCTCCCCCATAGAAAATTTCTGGATGAAAATTATCCCATAATTTTGCTCCACTAATTTCGATTTTTGCTCCATCACAGTGGAGAGACTATGTGGCTTATTAGGTGGGGGGGCTGAATTAACGCTAGCCCCTTCCAGTGAAATATCAGAAATTTGATCAAGCTCATTTTGTTCTCCGAGTTTTGCTCCGTTTTGCTCCATTATCATCGATTTTTGCTTTATTACCAGGAGAGAATTACAGAGCTCTCAAAAATCTCACCTAACCCCCCTCTTCCTCCGCATTATTTGTTGTCTTTGTCTAGTCAACAGGCTATTAAGTATATCGTATATCTCGATCGTTTTGGTAGGTTTGCTAGGTTCATAAAATCTGTCGCTATCAGTTCTGTCCACTATTATGGCTTCCTCTCCCCCTTCAGAGGTCGTCCGTCATGATCCGTGGAGTAAAACTCGGAGAACAAAATGCGCATATAAAAACTCCAAAATTTTCACCCGTGTTGCTAGGAGAGATTCCTCGTAGCTGTGTAGTTCATTCCAGAGCCGCTTTCATGTGCAGTGTGTGAAGCACCTGGGACTTTAATCTCAAAGCAGGGGAGTAGCGTTCTGTTCTCATGAGAACGAAGGCACTCCTATTCGGCATCCCACCATAGCACTACCTAACACTTATATAAAAAATTAGTGCAACCAATTTATTTTATGTATTTTTTTTGCACTTTCTGTACTTACTTACGTCATCGATGACGTCATAATTTAGAAAAAAGTATTTGTCGTTGATTAATTCATAGAGCACGTTCGCAATTATTATAGTTATGGAATAAAAATTTTCAACCGGGGCCGGTATTACAATATTACCTTAAAATCAAGACTTACCCTAAAGTATAGGGTTTTTATGTTATATTTAGAATGAAGTCATCGAACAAGCTCAGACAATGTTGTCAATGTCTATGTTTATTCTATATCTTAAGGTGACATTGAAATACCGGCTCTTAAAAAATCATTGGAGTCCCAAATATATAAATTAATTAACTGCGTATTATACAGAGTGTTCTTAAATATCATGTACATACGACAAAGGGTAATTCTTTCTTTTTACAACTGAAATCTCAAATATGTTATGTTCTAAAAAATTGACTTATTTAAGCAATTTAAAAAAATTCACCCTCTGACATTTTAATTTTTTTCTAGAAAACTTGCAAAGAGAAAATTTTGACAATTTTCCAGGAATAAGAGGAAAATGAGAAGCTCATTTTACAAAAATTTCAAAACTTTCCAGTAAAAAATCACTCCAGGAAAAAATCTGAAAAATTGACTTTTTCAAGTAAAATTAAGGAAAATTCACCTCTTACATTTTAATTTTTTTCTGCAAAATTTGCAAAGAGAAAATTTTGAAAATTTTCCAGGAATAAGAGGAAAATGAGAAGCTCATTTTACGAAAATTTCAAAATTTTTCAGTAAAAATTAATCCAGAAAAATTTTTGAAAAACTTACTTTTCAGCAAAATTAAGGAGAATTCATCCTCTTACATTTTAATTTATTTTATTTCTAGAAATCTGGCAAAGGGAAAATTGTGAAATGTGAAATGTTTCCAGAAGAAAAAGAAAAGTGAGGAGCACATTATAGAAAAATTTCAAAATTTTCCAGTCAAAAATCACTCCAGTAAAAATTCTGGGAAATTGACTTTTTTAGACAAAATTCAACCTCTTATATTTTGATTTTTTTTTGGGAAACTGGCAAGAAAATTGTGGAAATTTTCCAGAAAAAGAAGAAAATAATGAGCTCATTATAGCAAATTTTGTAATTTTCGAAGACTCGTAATTTCCGTAATTTTTCTTTAGACATTTTTTAATGCCTGTCATTTCTCAAATAATTCTTATAATTTTTTTATTAATTCCTGTTGTTCTTCAAATTTTCGTAATTTTTTAATTCCCGTAGTTTCTCAGAAAATTCCGTTATTTTTATAATTCCACGTTTTTGTATATTTCAAAAATTAGTAGGTAATTCCCGTAATTTCCGTATTTTTTCTGGACATTTTTTAAAATTATTTCCCAAAAGCCTTTGTAATTTCTAATTCTCGTAATTCCCGTAACTTTTTCGTAATCCCCGTAATTTTTTATAATTCTCGTAACTTTGATACTTTTCGTAATTTTCAATTCAATTTTCAATTGTCGTAATTTTTTAAATTTCTTGGACGTTTTTTGAAATTTTATAATTTCCCGGTCTTTATAATTTTTGTAATTGTAATTCCTGATTCTTGTAATTCTTGTTATTTTCTAACTTTTTGAAAATCATCATGGGTTTTTTCGATTTTTGCAATTCGTTAATAAATTTCTGTAATCTATTTCCAGAATTTTCGTAACTCTTGTAAGTTTTCTAATTTCCATAATTTTTTAAAAATTTAATTATTTTCCGTAGTCCCGAAATTTTTCGTAATTTCTGCAATTTTTGCAATTCCCGTAATTTTCGTTAATTAACAAATTCCTTAATTTTTGTGTTATTTCCGATATTTTTTTTTTCAATTTTTTGTAATTTCCATAATTTTTGCAATTCTTATAATTATATTAGGTAATTGTTCCAATTTTTTTTATGATTTTCCTAATTTCCGTAATTTTTTATGATTTTCGTGATTTCTTTTATTTTTTCTTCCCCGTAATTTCTTTATTTTATTTTTCAATAATGGTAATTCCCGTAAGTTTTTGAAATTTCCGTTAATTTTGAAATTCTCGTGATTTTTATTATTTTTTCGTAAAACGTAATTTCCAATAATTTTTTGCAATTCTATGTAATTTTTGATATTCACGTAATTTTTTTCAATAATTTTCATTGTTTTCCGTAATACTCGATTTTTTTCTAATTTTATAATTCTTCTCTCAATTTTTTTAATAACTTATGTAATTTCTATGATTTTTTGAAATTTTTGTGATTTTTGTTAATATTTTTTCATATTACGTAATTTTTCAATAATTTTCGTAATTTTACATAATTTTTGAAATTTCCATGATTTTTTTCGTAATTCTATAGTTCTCCTAATTTTTCAATAATTGTAATTCCCGTATTTTTTTGAAATTTCCGTGATTTTTTGCAGGGATCGACCGATACATTTTTTTTTTTAAAAAAAAACCGATATTGCCGATACCGATACGATATGGATTTATAGAAGGCCGATACCGATATAAGGCCGATATATATTTATCTGTTTTCTCCAACCTTTTCCTTTGGTTTGAATGTTTTATTTGTTTTCTCGCACCTTTTCCTCTAGTTTGAATGTTTTATTTATTTGTTTTCTCCTAGTTTTAATATTTTTTGTTCAAGTTCAGATAAGCAGAAAGTTAAGTTTTTTTTTTTAATAAATAAATAATTTTGAATTTGAGTTTAGATAAGCAGAATGTTACGTTTTTTTTTAAATAAAAACCTAATTAATTTAAAATAAATTTATGAGAAACAATTTCTAATATTGACTTTTTTCTTAGTCACTCCCATATGTACAGGGTGTTTGTTTATAACTGGAACACTCAATAACTTTTTTATTATTGAGAATAAAAGGCATGTTCAAATTGGAAAATTTCTTGGTAAATTGCAACGATCTTAATCGCTAAAACGAGATTTTTTTGTCTCCATAGGTATACAGGGTGCGTCAAAAAAGTCATTTTTTTAAATGGAACGCCCTGTATATTTTTACATTTTTGAAATTCTTAGAAAATTAGCTTCACAAACATATCAAATAATATTTGGATAACAAAAATATACAGGGCGTTCCATCAAGGGCGTACCCAGCGAGGGGGCAGGGGGGGCAGCTGCCCCCCCCTAAAAATTTTTATAAATTATAAAAAGGCTCCGCTAAGTGCAGAAAATAAAAAAATCAAAATAAACCACTATGGTTTTACTAAAAAAATTACACACCCGAAAAATATACTACTAAATACTACTAAAATATATTCATATACCTACGTAAGTCAAACGCAGCGCACTGCACAGCCTACTAGATTTGCAATTAGCGGAATTAGCAAAGAAATATGAATTTTCTATTACGATCCTGGCCCCTGCGAATTTGTTGTATTGTGTTGTTTTTCTAACGGAATTCGATTATTTTCATTTGTTATTCAATGTTAATTTGTTTGTGCAAGTACTGCAAGTAAACTTAATTTACTTAGTTGTTGATA